CTCATCTTCCAGCTCCACAGATTGCTCCGCGTACTCAAGTTGTACTACAAACTCGCCAGTTCTCAACTTCCAGCTCCACAGCTACTCCGCGTACTAAAGTTGTACTACACAGTCGCCAGTTCTCAGCTTCCAGCTCCACAGATTGCTCCGCGTACTAAAGTTGTACTACAAAGTCACCAGTTCTCAGCTTCCAGCTCCCCAGCTACTCCGCGTACTACAGTTGTACTACAAAGTCGCCAGTGCTCATCTTCCAGCTCCACAGATTGCTCCGCGTACTCAAGTTGTACTACCCGCCAGTTCTCATCTTCCCACTCCCCAGTTACTCCGCGTACTAAAGTTGTACTACAAAGTCGCCAGTTCTCATCTTCCAGCTCCCCACATGCTCCGCGTACTAAAGTTGTACTACAAAGTCGCCAGTTCTCATCTTCCAGCTCCCCAGATACTCCGCGTACTAAAGTTGTACTAGAAAGTCGCCAGTTCTCAGCTTCCAGCTCCACAGATTGCTCCGCGTACTAAAGTTGTACTACAAAGTCGCCAGTTCTCATCTTCCAGCTCGCCAGATACTCCGCGTACTAAAGTTGCACTACAAAGTCGCCAGTTCTCATCTTCCAGCTCCGCAGATACTCCGCGTACTAAAGTTGTACTACAAAGTCGCCAGTGCTCAGCTTCCAGCTCCCCAGCTACTCCGCGTACTAAAGTTGTACTACAAAGTCGCCAGTTCTCAGCTTCCAGCTCCACAGCTTACTCCCGCATTTCGCGCGTTCGACACGCACGATCTCCGCAGAGGGTTGCGCGGTCATCTCACAGATCGCGCTCTCGCCTGCATTTCGCGCACTCGACACGCACGATCTCCGCAGAGGGTTGCGCGGTAATTTCACAAATCGCGCTCTCGCCTGCATTTCGCGCACTCGACACGCACGATCTCCGCAGAGGGTTGCGCGGGCAGCCGGCAAATCGCACTTTTGCCTGCATTTCGCGCACTCGACACGCACGATCTCCGCAGAGGGTTGCGCGGGCAGCCGGCAAATCGCACTCTCGCCTGCATTTCGCGCACTCGACACGCACGATCTCCGCAGAGGGTTGCGTGCGGACCGGACAAATCGCACTCTCGCCTGCATTTCGCGCACTCGACACGCA